TGTAGAGTATAAGTGACTAAAATGGCAGAATTGTTTTGGGGTTAGAAAGCCTGGGGACTATGAAAACATGGTCAGTTAAGTGATTGGATAAACACTAAGCTAATCGAAACATTCTTACGGGGAGTTAATGTTATTTATATAATATATTATGCAATAGGTGCCCTAATATGATGCCAATGGGAACAATCACATGAATTGATATAGTACGCAAAGAATTTGAATTGGTCATCTGGAAGGATTGATCATGCGACAGTGTGGCGTGTTCGCAATCAGATAGGCCTAGATTTCTGGAGCCAAATCGGGGGGTAGCACACCTAGCAACAACGTCGCAATAGGAGTGGCGTTGCTGAGTTTTGTTGACGCGTGTGTGGACATAGAGAGATGGATGATTCGAAGAGGTATATTGTAGTTAATACTAGTTTATTTTTAGTACAGTGAAACCAGGACTCCGGCGCGTGTGGTGGCACGGTTGGAACCCCTGCAGGTGGAGTAGTCTTGGAAGGCATCAGATGGAGTCAAAGCTTCCTTCAAATATTCTCCGAACGGCCCCTAATCGGGGTGCGCAGTGGCAGATGTGAGTTCCTATAATGTGTTTGTGGGCTGTGGAATGTTCAGGATATTGAGCTTGGACATATGATTGGAGATCTTTGAAAGTGAAAGATGCCAAATTTCATCCAAAATGATTAATGAAAGCAATTGGAAAGATTGGATCATTTATGTAGGAATATCTTTGAACTTAACGCAGTTTCCTACCCAATGTGAAGAGTGTGGGATAATTGATAAGATGGTAGACTCATGGCATAAAATTCAGAAAAATAAGTTCAATGTCTCTACAGAGCCCAAGTACATTCATTAAACATGATAACTCTGCCCACACTGTGGGTTATCTTCTGGAATATATACTGATACGTTTTAACAGTTTCATAGGCTAAATGAGGAGAAGTTACATATTAGTTTGAATTTTTTTGAGGTGAATTATGTTATCGATCACAAACGACACCGTAACTGTACTACAAATTGGCAACCAATCTGACGATGTTTGCTTGTCGGATGGAAAATAGCATCCAGAATAGAACATAATATTATCGTATATATTCTTAATGTCACTTATATTTTTAATACGCATCCTCATATGATATAGAACAGGCACAGTACGATTTGTAATGATATGAAAATAACTGCGAACATGTCTGATTTGTAGATTTTAATTGAACAATAAATAGTAAGTTCATATTTAAAACGTCTCACGTAGAATCTTAAATTCATATCGTATAATATCTCACCTGGCTTTGAATTTCACACTAAACTAAGAAAACTCAAAGTTCACAGATTGTTTGAATCCGATTCCTGTGCGTTTTAATCTTGGAAGTATTCTCGCATACATAAAGTTTTGAGATTTCACGAAGATTTCAAGTCCAGAATTTTAAATCAATAAAATCCATTAACCTTATACGATAGGGTAACTGATCTATACTTAGGGAATAAATATTTACAAGGGATAATTAAATAGGGTGTCATAACATGAAAAAGTAGCGAATAGGATTTGGAGTATATCCGTGTCCTCTGTGCTGTGTTACAGGGGCAAATCAGAAAAAGTACTGTGAGAGAGATGGAAGAGGGAAAGTGAAGAGGGTTAAGATTCCGCTAGTTACCAATCTGGGAAGTAATGCAGTGTTCAGTGTCTTATGCTGACTTTAGACGGTATTTTCTAGTGCTCTCGGTAATCTTTTTCCAATTGTCATGTCTTTGTGAACACCGAGTTAGGACGGTTGGGTTACGGGATTTTCACTAAATTCCCTATAAACACAACAATAACAGTGGGGTGATAACTTGGCCCCGTCATAAGATAGATTCTATATCTGAAAAGTTTGGCAAAAGCATTTAGGACTATCTAAGTTGAATTTTTGTATATAAAAATTATACAGAGCCTTGCAAAAGACTTCGTGCCCATTGAATTTCACAATCGCACTTTAGGACCACTACGATCTCAAAAATAAAATTTATAGATATGAAATATACAACACCTGTGGGCCAATGAGAAGTGGAACTAAAATTTATAGGATCATTACACATTTTATAACAAATAAAAACTGAACATTGGGGTCGTGCATATTAATCGGCCTTAATAACTTAGTGCCTCAAAATCACTCAAAGTTCAGTGAGGATTTGGAAAAGATCCCCGTTGATCTAAATGATGATGATGATCAATGATGACTGTGTTTGAGTAAATAAGTTACGATATAAATGCACTGTCTGTTGCTAGTTCAGGGTTCTGTATACACAGCGCAGAGAGAACCCTTGCCGACAACGGAACAACAGGCGTTGCGCAATGTTGTGGAGAATTATAAAGGGCTATGTTATACAAACAGATTCAGTTTACATTCAAGGAGCACTGTGCACGCAATTTGTTGAAATGAAGGAGTAGACAGCCCAGCAAATCAACAAGACGCCGTCACCAATTTCATTCAAACAAGGAGAGAGTGTAGCGATGCAAGACCATCAGAGGCATGATCAACTGGATGACTGCAGATATCTACAGCTGCGGTGGGGAGCGACTGTCCCATAGGACAAACAATCAGTCGTGCACTGTCCACACATCTGGGCCTTTATGGAAGTAGAGGCAAAGACGCGGCATTTCTTCAAAGATACCACAAACAAGTGCTTGTTAAAGGTTGCTCACAAGCCACATGGGCGACACACAAACTGAGGTAAGAAGGTTGCTGTGGTCCAGGACGAAACAAAATCGAACTTTTTGGCCCCAATGCCCAAACCGAATTGTTTAGGAGTAAACAGCAACACTCCTCATCCTGAAACACACCCATCACCACTGGACCCAACATCGGTGGTGGCTGGCCGATCATGCCTTGGGTCCTGCTTTCCTCAGCAGGGACAGGGAAGACTGGCTAAAATTGATGGGATGAAGGATGGAGCAAAATAACAGGACATTTCTGGACGAAACACTGATTGGACTGGGCCGGAGATTTCATTCAAAGTAACTGCTACAAATACACGCAAATCAATGGAAAGGTTCACAAATAGACGTTCCGGTGTAAGAGGACAAGACAAAGTCCAGACTGAAACCAAATCGAGAAATCTGTGGAAAGAGCTGCACCTAGATGTTGTCACAAGCTCTATCCCACCATCACAGGCGTCGAGCAGTATTGCAGGAAGAAAGGGCAGCATACTGTTCGATGTGCAAAACGAATAGAGACATCTCTAAGCGGCCTAGCATGAATTGGCAGCACACGGTGGCGTAAATGTCTTCGAAAGGGGGAATACAATTTCCTGCTAAAAGTATTAAATTTGATAAACAGGTTAAAATACTCAATACCTTTAGATCACTATAACGAGTTGAGACCCAATTGTAGATATGATTCTTGAAAAAAATTTTATACTTTATTATGCAAGAATGAAATGTGGCGAAAATGATGACGGTTTCAACGGGGGGGGATACTTTGCAGGGAAGTCTAATAATTAACGGACAATCAATAAATTTTATTTATATCTTTATAATGTGACATCCTAAGGTCTCGTCCCAAGAATCTTCGTCAAAAACCCAGCTATTTGCGTTATACAAATCTAACTTATAGTAAGTTTTGGTTATTCAGGATTACGTACAGTGCATCTTTATTGTCCACAATGGGGGCCAATTTTAGAAAAAAAATTAAATAGAATCACCAAACAATTTTGTGAAAATGACAGAAAAAGTCTACATCTGTTACGGGGCTTGATCATTACATAGTGATAAAGAATCTGATGTTTCTCGTTGTTATGTTTGATAATATTAGATACAAGTATATTCATACTTTAGACGCCCATTTACTTTCACTGCATTATATTGTTGACCACAGGTGGTGGACTCGAGTTCAGTTAATACAAACGAACTTCAAAGCAATCACTTGGATTATCAAACAATTGACTTTATTGAATGGCTTCTTGACTATGAAGGATTGCTATTCCCGTAAAACCCAAGATGAACAGAGTGAAGGGGAAGCTTATTTGTTACTGAGTGAGTGATGTGTGACAGAAGGGGTGGGGGGGGAGCCCGATTCGCACAAATCCATACATACGAGATTGATATGATATGACAGCGCAACAATGGAACAGCTCGTATTCATGGGAGACAACAAAACGGAATACTCAGATTTCGAAAGATTAAATGTATGAATGGGCTAGATTGAGATGGTTGGGCCTATGCTCGGGATTGTACGTAGACTGAGACATGAATGGGATAGAAGGAAATGAAATGAGATAATGAGTTTCAACCAATGAAATTGTCCCAACTGCTTGTTTATCGCTATTGACACCTTATAATTGGAATACCATAACAGTCTATCAAATTATTCTCAAAGTTTTTACATGCATACAAGTGAAAACAGAGAGGAAATTTTCTAGTGAGAATAGATTAAAATGTTTAAACCAACAATTGATCTAAAAGGCGACTCAATTGTTGGGACTCACAAAACAGAAATACTAAGAAGTTTAGGCAAACCAAAGCAAATTTTCCACATTAGATTTGCATAGTATTTCTGATCGCTGTTGAGCAAGAAATAAGAAACAACCATTTGGTACCAAAATTCTACTAAGTTTATAAAGTTGCAGTAGTATTTTGTTACATTAAATAAAAACACTAATAGAATCACAATCATATAAATGGTTTTTTATTTTGTTAGGTA